GTAGTTGTAGCAGTAGCCTTAGCCGTAGCCGTAGCCGTAGCCGTAGCCGTAGCGGTAGCGGTAGCAGTAGCAGTAGCAGTAGCAGTAGCAGTAGCAGTAGGAGTAGGAGTAGGAGTAGGAGTAGCAGTAGTAATAATACGAAGCATCATAGTAGTAGTGGTGGTAGTAGTAGTCGTCGTCGTCGTGGTGGTGGTAGGAGTAGTAGGAGTAGCAGTGCTTCCCGGGCTCCCCGACCTGGCCTGCTGCAGCTTTTCCTGAGCCTGCTGATGCTCGGCAGTCGCAGTGCTGCCGCGCTCCAGCTCCTCCGAGTCTTGAGCTTCAGAGCCAAGGTTTAGGGTTTTAGGGTTTAGGGTTTAGGGTTTTTTGCTTAAGGTGGGAGTTAGGATTAGAGGGACCCTTGGCAATATAGACCCTCTCAATAAGGTCCCTTTTAAGAGAGCCAGAAGTAGGGTTAAGAAGGGTCACCTTTGAGGGGTCTCCCTAATACTAACCTAGGATAGGGGCTCTTGCGGGGAGTTCGGTTTGGGGTCTGGGGCTTTACGGCTGTGGGGCTTTGGAGCTTGCAGGTGCTGGAAACTACCCAAAAGCTCCATGCACCTTTATAGTAGATACTTAGGCCTTAACGGGGTCCCTATATAGGTACTTCAAGGCCAAGGTATCTACTATAAAGGTACATGGACCTTTGGGCTAGTGACTTGCAAGTCAATGTTTAGGGTTTAGGTTCCAGTGACCAGGATGCAATCATATCTTAAGAAAAACCTACAGCCTAAACGTCCTAGTACATGTTGGATATGTAGCCGAGTATACTCACGGGTTAAGTCGAAGGGAAACTCGACCCATCTCAAACTCGTCGTCCGACATATTATTTGGAAGACCAGCAGGTACTTAACAAACAGGGGTGTAAGTAATGACTGAGGGGCTCTTTGCACACGGTCACTCTACAAATCCCACTTAGCAAACCCGCTGCTAATCCTTCAGGTACGCTATAACCGATAACCGAAACTTCACAAAGCCCGGCAGCTACTTAAATGAGACAGGCTTTGGAGGGGAGGGTCTGAAAGACCGACCCCCCGACTAAATGCAATCTCAATCCATGCGCAGTTTTGGGGTGATTTGGAATCTGCTGCAACAACGCATATCTAATTCCGACCCAGTTTCGGGGCTGAGGGTTTCGACATCGGTCTTGCATCTGAACGCGATCTGAAGCCCATTAACCCCTGAATCCAACAACCAAACCCCAAAAGCCCTAATTAGGCCATATGCCCAAAGCCACGATCGTCCCGTTGATAAGAGAAAACAAGCCACCATTGCGACTCCAAGCCGACCAGAGGTTTAGGGTTTAGGGTAAACCCTAGACCCTAAACCCTAATCCCTAAAAAAAAATCCTCAACCCTAAACTATGCCCCAAATCCTAAATTTACATCCTAAACCCTAAACTATAGCACCCCTAAGCCCCAAATCCTAAATTTAAAATCCTAAACCCTAAACTATAGCATCCCTCAGCCCTAAATCCTAAATTTAAATCCTAAACCCTAAACTATAGCATCCCTAAACCCTAATCCCTAAATTTAAAATCCTAAACCCTAAACTATAGCATCCCTAAACCCTAATCCCTAAATTTAAATCCTAAACCCTAAACTATAGCATCCCTAAACCCTAATCCCAAAAACTAAATCCTAAACCCTAAACCATACCGTTCAGGGTTCGTAAACCCTGACCCTCCCGAACCCGCGACCTGAGCGTGCTCCCCTTGCCATCGCTCCACCTCCGCGAGCGCTTCCTTGGCAGCCTGTGCCTGGAGAGACGAGTCTAAGGTTTGGGGTTTAGGGTCTAAGGTTTAAGGTTTGGGGTTCAGGGTTTAGGGTTTAAGGTTTAGGGTCTAAGGTTTACCTGCAACCGAAAAGACCTACCTTTTTGAGGAGCTATATATAGAAACCAAATTCAAGGAACCCGAAAAAGGTGGGTCTTTTCGGCTTCAGGTAGGGTTCAGGGTATGGGGTTTAAGGCTTAGGGTAAAGGATTTGGGAGCAAGGGCTCTAGGAGTTTTGAGGTTTAGGCTTGTATCACGTGGTTTTTCTTGGAGTTTGAGGCGCGGCGTACCCTAAACCCTAAACCTGAACCCTATTTAAGGGCTAGTCACTGGATTTAGGCAGCGGGGTTTGTGGACTCACGGCGGAGGGTCCAGGGTTCAGGGTTTAGGGTTTAGGGGTTTAGGGTTCAGGAGTTTAGGAGTTTAGGATTTGTGGATGTGGAGTCTCTGTTCTTGGAGGGGTTCAAGGGTATTGGAGTGAGAGGAAGACTGACAATCAGTGGGTTTGGTGTTTTGGAGGGATGTACCTATAGTCTCCATTGTAATTCCTTTTTGGGGATACCTTATAAAATCCTTAATATATATTTGGGGGTTTCCGAAAATAAGGGACCCTGATATAGTACCCTAAATAGTAGGACCCTTATTATAAGGACCCCCCAAATAAGGTACCCTAAGTTTTGGAAACTCCCATATTTGGTTAAACCAAAACAAGGAACTACAATGGAGACTATAGGTAGTTCTTGTGCCCAACATTGATACTGACATCTTTGTTCCCAAGAAGTAGTCCTAAACCCTAAACCCTAAACCCTAAACAAGCCCTCCGGGTTCGGTGTCCAGTCCCACGTAGTAACTGTCCTTTCTGAGGGCCTGTAGGCGGGTTTGGCCATGGAAGCTCAGACCCTGGGTTCACACCGGGGCTACACGACTTCACTGTTTAGGGTTTAGGGTTTAGGGTTTAGGGTTTAGGGTTTAGGGTTTAGGGTTTAAGGTTTAGGTTTAACACACAACCCTGACGTCTGTTTCATGCTTGCCAGGATTTGAAATTCAGGATGTCTGGTGTAGGGCTGTGGGGTTTAGGGTTTATCGAGCCAGCGGTGGTCATTAATCGTTCCGGGTTTTGTTGGTTGACAAGGATGATCAGCTGAGCCTTGCCATGGGGGCTGTCGGCCGTCAGATGAGCGAGCAATGTAGCAGTTCACGGCTTATTCTCCTGATGGTGACCTACTTAGTGGGTCCTTCGGACCGCTAGGGATACCATGCTAGCACTGTGTAAGCGTACGGATTCAGGGGCCTTAAGGCAGGAGCCACCCAATCGTCTTTCTCGTGGTTTTCAATGCCCCGAGCTCCAGGCCCAAAAGACCGCTCCTTCTTCGAATCTCGACCGCCCCACGCCCTCCCTTCAAAAACAAGCATATTGATGAGCAGCAAATAAACCCGCAGAGTTCCAAGGTCTTTAGCTCTCAATAACCGTAAAAGCACCAAAAGTTGGAACCCAATGGCCGCAGTCGTTTGGCGAAGTGTATAGGGAATTTCAGCACTATTTGTCCTTCATCCGGAATCCAGCTTTTTGGGGGTTTGCACTTTAAGTCCAAAACCCTGACCCCTTAACCCCAAGCCCTAAACCCTAAACCCCAAAACCCTAAACCCTAAAACACCCCTTGCGACCGAAACCCCACCCCACCCGAAGATTTCGAAGTTCGAACCCCCGAACGGATTAGGAGTTAGTGTAGGGTTTCGGGTTTGGGGTATCGGGTTTAGGGTTTAGGGGTAGGGTGTATAGCAGTTTAGGGTTTAGGGTTTATAGGAGTTTAGTTTTGGGGTTTCATCCCTGAGCCCCGCAATCCCAACCCCTAATGCCAGAACCCAGAACCCTGGAGCTGACACCCAAACCTAAACCCTAAACCCTAAACCCTAAACCCTAAACCCTAAACCCTAAACCCCTTTATCCCAAAACATAATTTAGGGGCCTGGGCCTTAATCATTCGTTTAGTTTAGGGTTTAGGGTTTAGGGTTTAGGGCTTAGGGTTTAGGGTTTAGGGTTTAGGGTTTAGGATACTATACGTATAACAAGGACCCCCACAAAAAAAGATCGGTAATTCTGTAGGCCCTATATTACACTCTAAAAAGGCAAGCGTTTAATTTTCTTATACCACGTACTGCAACGGTTTAGGGTTTATGGTTTAGAACTGGAACAAGAAAATTCTAAGACCCTAAGTATGGTACTTGCAACTTCGGCATTTACCTCAGCCAACTTTATTGAGAAACTGTAAGCAAGCAGCTCTGAGAAAAAAGGCTCAACCTGAAATCCAGAGGCTGACCATAAACCCACAACCCGAAACGGATACCTAAACCCTAAACCCTCAACCCTAAACCCTAACAAACTTGAACTCTGGAAACCCAATTAATTAAAAACTCATAAACCCTAAACCTAAAACCCCAAAACCCTAAAGCCCTAGACCCTAAAAAAACACCTGAAATCTGGAAACACCTGAAGCAGGAGCTGCCTGGGAAGTCACTTCGTCCTCGGACTGGCGCAGCTCCAACTCCAACTCTGCAGCCCTGGGTACTTCCAACCCCTCGACTACCCTTTAGGCTTCAGGGTTTAAGGTTCAGTGTTTAAGGTTTAGGGTTTGGTCTTCTTTTTTTTAGGGTTTAGGTTTAGGGTTTAGTGTTTAGGGCTTAGTGTTTATAGGTTTTAGGGCTTGGGGTGTGGGTTTGTTTCTGTCGCGCCCTCTTTTCCTATCGCCTAGTCACTACTCCGGCAGTCGGAACGCCTTAGCTAGCGGAGGGGTTGTTCCGGGGGGTTAGCCGACAATATCACCAATAACCTGAACACACCACAAAAACCTGTTTTCCCAGAACGAAGCACAGCCATGCCGACGGCAACTTGCCCACATCTCCGATCCAAGTGACCGCTAGCACCATACAACACTAACACACACTGCAGGGCAGGATAAGATCAAACAGGCCACATCAGTACTGACTCAGCAAAAGTGTAGACCAGCCATCATCAGCCTCCAAGATTTCCCCATAAGACTACAACCAAACTACCTACAACCAGGCCAGTCTCTCTCTGAGTCAAGATTTGTAAAGTTGCCCCTCAGCTGCTCCCTGGACCACAAAACACACCGCCGTTGACCAACACAACCTATGATGTGGGGCCCTAAATAATTACACCTATACTATTTTGGGAGTTCCTTATTACAGTTATAGTAGAATGGGCCCCAGAACCCTATTTCTAATTATTAAAGCCCCTATATTACTCTGCGGAGATCGCGCTTTCTGAGCGAAATACTTCTCGATGACCCCTGGTTGTTGCAAGTTCTCGTAGGCTGTCTCGAGCCGCGCGGCCTGGGTCTCGGCTAACTCCGCCCACAATGTCACCTGCACAGCGCAGGACGGCCAGAACAGGAGTATAAACCGACTTCTTTTCTGCCACATCGCCCTTGCTGCGAACATTCACGGTTCGCGACTCCTCGGAGATGTGCCGTCAAGGTCACAACTGTCCGAGCTTCCTGTGGATGCACCTCGCCCGTGGACAAAGTGGGTGCCGGCACCGGTTGCATTTGGCCGGAGGTGCGTCTTTTTTGACCACGGGGGAAGACATGGCGCGACAACAACGCTGCCTGACTGATTCCGCGAGCCTGCTCAGCTACGCTACTTGCATTTGCTGCTGCCCTCCTTGCATTGGAGATATGCAGGTAGCTCTTCCCACGTCGTCCATTCCATGAAGCCCGCCTCGGGGTAGGCAGGGCCAACTGTGGGTTGTCGGTGACGAAATGGATTGCTGCGCAGTGGCCACGCGGAAAATCTGCGTCCCAACCGGAGGCAACACTCGACCACTTCCCATCAGGGAGAACTAGCACACACACACACACACACAAGTGTTTAGGGTTAGGGTTCAGGGCTTAGGCTTGGTTAAGTGTTGTATTGCCTACGTGCCCGCTATCATGGACCATAACGCCTCCATTAAGGGTACCTGTGGGAGTGCTGGTTGCTGATTCTTTTTTGGGGCTTTGGGGTTTGTCGTTGGGGATTATTTTTCTAAGACCCACCCGCGAAAAGAAGGCCGACCGTAAGAAGTCAGCTAGACTACAGAAGTGCTGCCCCCCAAAGAGCCCTAGGCAACAACCCCCTTTATTGTATCCACAAACCCAAAAATTAGACACTAAATCCAGTACTGAAGGGCCTCAATAATTAGACTAGGGTGCTTGGGCGGTATATTGTACTATGATTACACTGAGAAACCTATATATTGTATTGGTAATTATCTACACCCCTACAGTACACTAGCGCGGTTCGGGCTTACGGTTTAGGGTTTACTTTAAACCTTAAACCCTTATAAACCCATGATAAACTCTAAACCCTTATAGAGCGGAAGCAACGCAAGGTCTCGTCCGAGTCGCTTTGCCCGAAGCTTTGCCAACTCCTCAGAAGCCTCGGAGAGTTCCTGTCGTTAGGGTTTCGGGTTTCGGGTTTCAGGTTTAGGGTTTAGGGGTTTAGGGTTTAGGGTTTAGGGTTTCAAGTTTAGGGTTTCTGGTTTTGGGTTTAGGGTTGAGGGTTTTTGGCTCAGGGTTTAGGGTGCACACACTGGTGGGTGCGCCTTTTACTTTAGGAATAGGGGGCGTAGGATAGGGGGCGGGTCCACTTATCGTGCGCTTGCGTCAGCATGTAGTCCCGCCCCAACCACCCCAACTATTCTCAATTAGGGTTTAGGGTTCACGCCAAACCCCCTTCAAGGGGGCTTTCTTGCTCTCTGCTTTTCCTCGCAGCTCTGCACAGCAAACCGCAGCTGAGATGGATTAGTGTCGGTTTGGGGTCCTCACGGCCGCTCGACTAGAAGCAAGGGTTCCCAACAAACAGGTCCCCCCCTTGTACCCTGTCAGGGTTGCTCACAGTTTCCAGCTTCCAGCGACGGCAGGTCTGGGTGGTGCCAGGACCAGACGGAGGGACCAGGCCGGGAGGGCTCGGAAGCGGCAAGGAAGCCCAAACGCCCCGAACGGCAAAATCTGTTTTTGTGGGGCTTGGTTGGGAAGTCGCCAGCCTGAGACCTTTTTGGGGCATTCTTGAGAGGTTGGCCCTCCAGCCCGGGCCACCCTGGAAGACCCCCCAAACCCCCCAAAAGAGCACTCAACCCTCCCTCACCGTTCTGACACGACGCTCGGCCGGGAGCCTCGGTCAGAGCCTCGAGCGCCCATGCAAATGGTCAGCGGTGCTCTCGGCAGTTTAGGGTTTAGGGTTTCTGGTTTGAGGTTTAGGGTGTCTGGGTTGAGGGTTTAGGGTATCTGGGTTTAGGGTTTCTGGGTACAGGGTTTAGGGTTTAAGGTTTCTGGTTTAGGGTTTGTGGTTTGATGGAAATCATACTCACCAAGAACCATATTACTCAAAAACAACCATCTTAAGCTGGTCATAAGAAGGAGAAGAATAACAACAATAAACAAATACTACGACGAACAATGATTGCTTGAAGGGTTGAGGGTTAAGATTTCCGGTATTATAGGGGTGCGTACAGGAAGCCATCTATGGGTTAAACCATGAGCAATACCGAAACTGAAACCAGAAAACAACACGGTCCTAACATAGCGACCAATAAACAAGAACTCAAACACAAACACACTAAAGAGGAAAGGTTGTCTTGAACATGCGGCACGGGGCTGCGCGGCTTCAACCATCGGCCCTGAACAGCAACTGATGCTTCATGTCATACCAGCATCAACCACGGTTTATGGTTTAGGGTTTTACGCAAACTCCCTAAACTCTCCCAAAGGGTCCTAAGTACCTACATAGTAGAATGTAAGGTTTCTATAATAGGGATCCTTATTATGATTTACCCTAAACCCTAAACCCTAAACCCTAAACCCTAAACCCTAAACCCTAAACCCAGTTTCCGGAAAGCCCCAAGTCCCTAAATTGGGAAAGTATCCCCTATAACAGTACCTAGGACCCTTTGGGTCTCCAGCACCCTAGTCAGGAGATTCCAGGTTTAGGGTTTAGGGTTTAGGGTTTAGGGTTTAGGGTTTAGGGTTTAGGGTTTAGGGTTTAGGGTTATATACTCCCTGACAAGCTCACTACTACGGCACACAGAGACCCAAATGTCAACACTTTCCGAAACTGTAAAAGCAATACCTAATACTCAAGCAAAGAATGGCAACGTAAACAACTTTGCACTCTGAGAACATTGAGACTCAAGTTCTACTGAAACCCTAACTCCTAAAACCCAATGCAAGCATCGACGACTGAAAAGATGGATCGAAAGAAACAGCGAATGTAGGAGCTTTAATAACTATATTAGGATTTTGGGCTCCTCTATAGTATAATTATAGTAAGGAACCCCCAAAATAGTATTGTTAATTATTCAGGCTCCCATATTCCTCGAGACTGGGAAGACTATCGACTTCCAAACAGAGAGGATGCTTCAGCTTAGACGCCTCATTCCGATACCCCCGATACCCTGGAAAGGCCTCAGACCCTCCAACCCGAACTCCCTGAGGTGTTTACTTTAGGGGGTTTAGGGTATAGGGTTCGGGGTTTAGGGTTTAGGCTGTAGCGGCCTTCATATTTAGAATGCGGGTGTGGATTCCTTGGTCGTGTATTTGTAATAAGGAACCCTCATTAACAGTGATATTGGGATTGTTTTAAGCCTCTATATTATGGGTCTTTTGGTTCAGGGGTTCAAAGCCCCGAAGACACCCTAAACCCAAAAATTCCTAAACCCTTACTCCCTAAATCCCAAAACCCCAAAGCCCCGAAGAAGTGCCACCTGCTTTGAGGATTCTTCTTTTGCTGCGGCAGCTGCTTCATCCTCCCGAGGGTCGGGTTTGATGGCTGCGTCGGGCTTCATGAGAGTCTGGGCTTTAGGGCCCTTTAGAGTTTAGGGTTTAGAGCTTAGGGTATAGGCTTTAGGGTGTAGGGTTTAGGGTTTTAGGGATTAGGGTTTGGGGTTTTAGGGTTAAAGTTTTGGGTTTAGGGGTTTAGGGTTTTGGGTTTTGGGTGTAGGGCTTAGGGTTTAGGGCTTTGGGTTGCAAGACATCCCCCGCCAAAAGGCGAGGTTCAATCCCAAGCAACAAAAGCGTGACCCCATGATCATCGTAGGGCTAAACGTGAGGGTGAGGGGATTGAGGCATCTGCACCTCTGCCCTTGTCTTGTCGAGCTCCTGCTTGGCCGCCGCAACTTCCTGGTTCAGGGCTTACAATGCTGGCTTCTAGAGGGGTCATATAATTACAATACAAGTAGAGATTTGTGCCGGGGCTGAGGGACGCTCTCCTACGTAACTTCCAGTACTAGAGCTTCGTCCATGTCTTAGCCGAGGGACTACATAGATCTTGGAAAGATTAGGCTGCAAAGTTTGCAGCGAAGCCTTGACGCTAAAAATCAAGCCTAAACAACCTATGCCCTACCTGCCTGCAGCGCCCAAACCGAGCTTTTAAGAAACTGGTGAGAAAGCCAAAACAAGGAACCCGAATGCAAAGGCCACAGCTTAAGCCCCGAAACTGTGAACGCAGCTCCCGTTAATGAAAGGGTCGAGCTCAAGGAGTTGAGGGTAGAGGCGTGGTTTGGGCAACTCTAAACCCCAAGTTACCCTAAACTACACCGTGGTCTAGGTTAGGGTTTAGGGTTTAGGGTTTAGGGTTTAGGGTTAACCTTAACCCGCACCTACACAAGTAGTGGTATTGTTCCATCGGGCTCCGAAAGCAGAACTGAAGTATCAAACTGCCCACAACCCCAGTCACATAGTAATTGCAGATAGCTGCTCCGCAAGACTATCTGCTGCCCATGTCACGCTCTACCTTCTTAGCGGGTAAACATGCCACCGAACACGTTCGAACCATGTCGAAACAAACTTGGCTGCATAATTTCTACAAGTGCGAATAAGGCCGAAAGCAGTGCGCGAACATACGTAGACAAACACAAAAGCCCCAACAGTAAAAACTCGAAGAAACGTCTCCGAAACCCTAAACCCCAAACCCTAGACGCTAACCACTATAAACCCCAGACCCTAGACCCTAAACCCTAAACACTATAAACCCTAAACCCTAGACCCTAAACCCTTAACAACACTAAACCCTAAACCCTAGACCCTAAACCCTAAACACTAAACCCTAAACCCTAGACCCTAAACCCTACGCACTAAACCCTGAACTCTAGACCCTAAACCCTAAACACTAAACCCTAGACCCTACACCCTAAACCATAAACACTAAACCCTAGACCCTAAACCCTAAATCCTACACCCTAAACACTAAACCCTAAACACTAAACACTAAACCCTAAACACTAAACCCTAGACCCTAGGCCCTAGCAGATCTTCCACCCCCAGCTGCGATACCGAAGGCGCCTGTTGCAAGCGCTCGATATCGGCCGCAAGCTCAGCTTCGCGCTGCTTGGCACTCGTCAACGCCTGCCGAAGTCCAATATGTTCCTTTAAGGGTTTAGGGTTTAGGGTTTAGGGTTAAGGGTTTAAGGGTTTAGGGTTTTAGGTTTTAGTGTAGGAGTCTAGGCTTCAGGGTTTAGGGTTTCAGGTTTAGAGTTTGGGGTTTGGGGTTTGGGGTCTTTGGGGTTTAGGGTTTGTGGTGTTTTAAGTCTGACCCCAGATCCTTTATAGTTAGAATGGGGTTTGGGGCTCCTTCGTGAAATAGTATACGACCTATCCCCGAACCTTATAATCTCAGCTGCACATGCTGAAGTCAAGGTTTCTTAGAATTAGGAGCAGCTTAACTCTTGGTCTACGGTCCCAAAGTTTCGACATTAGAGCCTCAACCCAAACACGAATCTGCCACCTCCTTGGAGGACTCCTCCATTGCGGCAGCCGCCGCTTCATCCTGTCATTTCGGTCTTGAAAACGGAAAATGAAAAACCCCTCATCCCTAAACCCTAAACCCACAAGCCCTAAACCCTAAGCCCTAAACCCTAACGCCCTAAACCCCAAAGCCCTAAAACCCTAAACCCTAAGCCCTAAACCCTAAACCCTAAACCCTAAACTAAACATCCCTAAACCCTAAGTCTCGTGGTTCGAGTTTTTTGAGGCCTCAGGTCCCTACAGGGTATACGGCAAAAAGGCTCACAGAGATCCCTGGGGTCGGCTCATAATGTTTTGAGTTTAGGGTTTAGGTGTTTTAGGGTTTAGGTTTTAGAGATTAAGGTTTTGAGTTTAGGGTTTAGGGCTTTTAGGGTTTTTTGGGTTTAGGGTTTAGGGTTTTTAGGGTTTAGGGTCTTGAGTTTAGGGTTTAGGGTTTTTAGGGTTTAGGGTTTTGAGTTTAGCGTTTAGGGTTTAGGGCTTTTAGGGTTTAGGGTTTAGGGCTTTTAGGGTTTTGGGTTTTGAGTTTAGGGTTTAGGGTTTTGGGTCCTCTTTATGCCTACCGGAAGTTCTAAATCCCTCTGCCCTAAACTCTTGCAGTTGCTTCGCTCTCATACCGGGATGCTGTTTTCCAGGCAAATGCACTGGAAGTTGATCACCACACGTCCAAGGGGTTGAAGTCTGCGAACTTCTTCGGTCTCTCATCTCTGCGTGTTGTCACATGTTGCTCTTGTCCAGAGTCCAGATTCAGAGACTGTAGGGCCTTATCACTTCTCCGCAGCTGAACTTGTAGCTGGCAAGAAGATAACGAACCACAAATAGCCTGGTTCCACTGCTTGCTGTAGACGCCATTGCTTGGCCGGCCATCCAACCCATCCAGGCCGCTCACGTGCTGAATCTGCGCACTCTGAATTTGTGCTGTTCCCGCTTCGAAGTCGACCATGGCTTGTGGTGCTAGGATGTTTAGGGTGTAAGGTTCAGGGATAGTAAGCTTTAGAGTTTAGGGTTTTGGGTTTAGGGTTTAGGGTTTAGGGTTTAGAGTTTAGGGTTTTGGGTGGATCTTTGTTTGGGGGTTAGGGTTCTTATTTGGCCCCTAAACCGGAAGAAGCCAAGCCTCTGGGCCCCAAACTGTAATCACGAAAGCCTAGACCTAAATGCGAACGAACCCTAAACCCGAAACCCTCGTCGCCACCCGAAACTGAGCCGGAGGCCCTTCTGAACCCTATATTGGGGTTTAGGGCTTCGCGTTTAGGGCAAAAGTTCTCCTTCAAACTCCAAACTCTGATGCCCTACCAGACTTATAAGCCCTAAACTCCAGGGCCTCTAAACCCCTAAACCCCTCAACTCTTGCCGAAAACTTCATAGGAAGCCTGGGAGGAAGCCTAACCGCTCAAAAAATGTCAACCCGAGGCAAAAGCCTTGGCTTTGGTCTCTTCCAGGTTTTGGGCAGCTTCCGCAACTTCCTGTCGTCTGGACGCCGCAGTTCGGGTGTCGGAGCGTCGAGGAGGTTCGGGTTTAGGGGTTTGGAGTTTCGGGGTTTAAGGTTTAGGGCTTAGGGCTATTACTCTCGAGTCTCTTGTTGTCTAAGAATGGCGGTTGCGGAAGACTCGGGGTCTTTATCATCGGGATCCTGTACACCATTTAAAGTCGATGATGGGCCCCTACACCCTAAACTTATTTTTGATATTCCCAAATATTGGAGTGTCCCTAAACCCTAAACCCTAAACCCTAAATGTGGGAGTTGGTCCCACGGGTCATTCGAACACTGCAAGACAGGAGCTGGTTACTGCCGTCCGGTAAAGCCGGTGGCGGTAACGGACCAGCTGCCCCCACTCCACTTTAGGGTTTAGGGTTTAGGGTTCAGGGTTCAGGCTTCAGGGTTCAGGGTTTAGGGTTCAGGGTTTAGGGTTTAGGGTTTAGGGTTTAGGGTTTACGGTTTAGGGTTTAGCAGCCACCCCAATCGCAAAGGACACCACGACGAAGACCACGGAACCGGTGGCCATGGCCATTTGTCGGTCCTAGATCTCCCGCCCCAAGGGCTAGCAACCCACTGCAGCTTCCACTCCTCAGGTAGGGGCGAAGTAATTAGTGACGACCTGAAAGACCTCCTTCAACCCTAAACCCTAAACCCTAAGCCCTAAACCCTAAACCCTAAACCCTAAACCCGAAGCCCTAAACCCTAAACCCGAAGCCCTAAACCCTAAACCCACCTTGCAGGTCTCCTGAGTCAGGCGTTCCCATAGCTAGCTGTTTAGGCCATCCTGCTCCCCGTCCGATGCAGGCCGCGCAGGTTTCGCAGCACCCTACACTGCCCGAACCGCAAACCCTAAACCCCAAACCCTAAACGCTAAACCCTAAACCCCAAATCCTAAACCTTTAAACCCCAAACTCTAAACCCTAAACCCCAAACCCTTAACCCTAAACCCTAAACCCTAAACCCTGAACCTTAGCAAAACCAGGAGACTCCCTTAAGTTCGAGATCCGATGCAAGATCCAAGAATCCCAACACGGAGAATAGAGGGGCCTTGATCATTAGAGTAGGGTTTTGGGGTTCTTTATATTATAGTTTAAATAGTATATCAGGGTTTAGGGTTTAGGGTTTAGGGTTTAGGGTGTAGGGTTTTGGGTTCCTTATATTATAGTTTATATAGTATAACATACCCCCCCCCAAACCCTAGTCTTATCATTAAGGCCCCTAAACCCTAAA